TCAGTGGATGGCACGTCGGCCTGCAGACTGAAGGGTCCCGGGTTAGATTCCAGACAAGGGCACATGTCTGGGTTGTGGGCTCGATCCCCAGGAGGGAGCATGCAGGAGACACCAATCAATGATTCTCTCTCATCATTGATGTTTCTATCTCTCTCTCCTTCTCCCTTCCTTTCTGAAATCTATAAAAATATATTTTAAAAAAGAAAAAGAAAGGGACTGGGGCCCGGCAGGAAATCCCCCAGCCCAGAGGCCTCCGAGGTAGGCAGGCCGAAACACTCACTGTTCTCAGCCAAAGTCACTGCAGTAGAGTGATGCTTTCTGGGGCGATATTTCTATATAGATTATGCCCTTTATTTTACATAGTATTACAGTCCATGCCTATGAGCTCTCAGGCATGGTCAAACATGTTGATTTTCTTTTCCTGGTTTGGACGGGGCACAGTATAGATAATAATACAACTGGGGTGTTGGATAGCAGCCGGCGTAATTGGCAGGTGCCCCCTCCCCCAGAGGTGCAAATCAGAAAATCCACGAGGTGCTGCTGGTTTCAGATTCTCTCTCACGGAAAATAAACCAAAGGTCTCAAGAATCAATTGGAAAGTGTTGGATTATGTTCAGCATTCAGCGAGGCACCAAATGGATTATCCAAACCACTTTGTGCCCTGAATTGTTTTTCAGACTTGGTTTTACAGAGATACATTTGAAGAAATCTTTATGCTCAACAGAGCTTTTATAGCTATATCCTATATAGGTTTGTTTGTTTGTTTTTTCTATTCCCACTTCTTCAGGAAGCGAGGGTCACCTTGAGCATATTTCTGGTTTTCCTTTGGGTAGTAAGGCAACCATACCAGCATTTTTCTTTTAAAATTGACAAAAGTGTGGACCATCTGTGACATCCAGCTTTTAAAGCAGATGTTATCGTTTGATCATCGCCTTTGATACAGGCCTCGCTGGGTGTAGCGCCTGCTGACAACCCACAGAGTTTCCTCAGCCTTGGGGACATCTCACTGCGAAGTGATGGTTTGAAAATTTCTGGCCTCGAGGTTCCACTTGGGAGTCGATGGCTTTCAGAACTGAAACTCTTCCGATTTAACAAAGACCCGCTTGCTACTTGTGACGCGGCTTCCACTCTGACATCTGCCCTGGGTGTAGTGCAGGCAGTGGAGCCGGCAGGAGGGCTGGTAGACTTAGCAGCATCTATCTGCAAGCCTGTTAGCGACTTCTCCTTCAGGAGAAGGAGAAACCAAGGTATCTAAGGTTTATTGATTTGCCTATAGTGATTCAGTGAGTCGGCAGGGAATAGGGAATAAAACCAATTTCCTGGCAGCATTTCCGGGGCACACAGCTCCTTACCTTGCAATGCCTAGACTGGAAGCCAAGAATCCATCTCAGAGAATTTGATCAGAAAACAGATGACGGGTGATTCGGAAACCACAGAAGCATTGAGAAAGTCATAAAGATGTATAATATATGATCGCATTTACCAGCTATAAATAGGGAGAGGCAGGGAGAAAAATAGAGACCTTGTAAATCCATTGGGTCAGGAGGAAGAGAAAGTGCTTAATATGTCATTAAAAATGGATTTTCATAAATGGCACTTGGAGAGCTTTGGGCAAAAGACAATATGTAAGGACCAAGGTGTGGTTATTTATTACTCTTCGTTATTAATAATTCGAACTGTTATTGAACCAAAACATCAACGAGGTGGACTCTCCCTGTGAGTGGGGTGCTCACCACGTGTGTTCTGGCATCCCTGTAAGTGTATGAAAACCCACAGCACTTGTCCACAAAAGCTCTGAGCCTCCAGGGAACACAGGGTAACTATGGTGCCCTGTTACGAAGTGGACACTCCCAAGGCAGTGCTGGATAGGAAAACTCTTGTGAAGGAAGCCAGAAAGGGCAAGAATCGGGGGGGCCAGAAAGGACCTTACAAATCAACTCACACAATCCCCTCATTTAATAGAAGAGGACGTCGGGGCCCACACTTTTGAGCTAATTAGCAGTAGAATCTGTCTCCTGAATCCCAGTTCAGTGGTGGTTGGGTGTTTTGGGATTTCCCCCCTACTGTGCCACATTCAGAGTGGACAGTATATGAATAGTTTCATAAAATAATATGGTATTCCTTCAGCAAAGGGTCCAAATTGCAGGGGGCAAATATAAGCACAAGGTCAAGAGCAGACAGAAATCTAAGAAGGGACTGGGCTCAGAAACGTGAAGGGTCAGTTGAGGCCACGTGGAAAGAGCCTCATTTGGTCCCGGGGAGGGAGACGCTGAGAAAATGGAGCAGCAGAGGGACGTTCAATGTGAGCGGCCAGGGTGATGGCCTGGGGCAGGTAAACCAAGTGCGTGCCTCCCTCTGGCTGATGTCACTGTGGGCAGAGACCTGGCGGTGCTCCCTCCAAGCCTGTGAGCACATACGTCATGGGAAAACCAACCTTCTCCCCAGACATGCACACACATGAGTGCACACACATGCAGCCACACTCACGCACACGCCAGCCTCCCAAAGGCAGTCCGGAGACACAGTCATTCCTGAGGTGGAGGGAAGAAAGGTTCCTTGGTATTATCTGCCCAAGCTGAGCAATGACGGGGTCAGATATTCAGAACATATGCAACATGTTGTGTTTCTAAACAGGACCACCGTGTGGGTACCGTGGATTGCAGCTGGGTTAAAGATTGAATCCACTCCACACCCCAATTATGCATTCACATGGCCATCAAGCCCCTCCCCTCCAACTCTGTAGCATCTCCTGATGGAGGCCACACACAGTCATTGTCACCGCCCTCAGGGAGCTGGCCAGTGGTGGCCCCCACTGCCCACAGCACCCACCGAAATCAGAGTGCTGCCCTCGCTTCTCCTTGCCAAACAACACACAAGGCAACCAGCCTCTGCCGCCCGCAGAAGCCTAGGAGAACTGATGGATCTCCCCCAAATGCGGTCTGTTCACCTGTCCCTTTCCTCGGAGCCACGGAGCCCTTCATCAGCACCCAGGAGGCCAAGGAAAGAGCCTGGGGAGGCCAGACCTTCCTGGGCCCTATTTCCTCCTTCCTGCCATCCCTCTCTGAGATTAAGAGCCTCGGCCTCCCTCTCCACCTCTCTCTGAACTTCTCCCAGCTGCCCGGCTCTCCCCCTCTTTCCGTGGGTTTCCCTGGCCCTTCTTTGTCTCTTCTCCCCCCTCTTTATCCTCAGTCACGAAGCATCAAGCAGCCAGAGCGAACCTGGGCTATGTGAGTGTCCAGCAGTCCCGCCTCTGGGCTTCCTGTGACCCGCAAGGCAGTTGAGGGAGAGACTAGCCACCTTAGGACCAGGACGGAGGGAGGCTTCCAGGAGTCCGTGGGCTCAGCACCCGGAACAAGAGATTTAAACAGAATGTGTTGGGCTGGTGAAACCTCTTTCTTCCTCTCCTTTCCTCTGTTTGTCTTAAGCAAGCCACTTCTTATTTGGTTGCAAAAGGTGTGACGTCTCTTAGCCCTTCACCCTTGCCAGCAGTGGGGAGCTGTGTATTAAGTGGCTCTCACCTTGGACCTGAGCAAGCAGGAAATATGGCGGGGTCCAGGTTGCCTGACGGCAGGGCTCCTACGTACACTTCCTGGGGAAGAAAGGACCAGGCTGTTCATTGGCTCTGAGCTTCTGGCTGCTCTTTGCTGTTACCCAGAGCATTCTCAGTTATAAACACTCCGGGAACAGCCGCTCCACCCCATCGAATCCGCGCTTGGAGACCTTAAGGCTCCAGAACTCCTAGCCACCAACATAAACACTGCGCATGTGTTCAAGGAGATGCGAGTCCACCTAAGAGACCGCGGCCTAAAAACATGGCAAGGCCTTTGGGTCCAGGCAGACCTCTCCGAGCCTCAGTTTCCTCATCAGTAAAGTGGGACTAGTAATACCTGAGCCCGTGGTGTCGTGGGCATAATTGTCTTTACAGAGTGTCTGGCTCGAAGGGCCCTGTCAGTGACCCCCTGGCACGGCCCAGGTATCAGGAGCTGAAGCATCTATCCCGACCCCCACCCAGGAGAAATTGCTCGCTGCTGCAGAGTTGGCTGTGAGTGGATTTACACTCACATGGTTGTCACAGCCATGACAGGCATGATTTAAAAGTGGTGATTGGTTAGTTGGCCTTTCCCTCCACCCTTATCCAGAAACCGAGAGAAACTCACATGTACTTGCTCCAGCTTCTTTGTTTTCTATGGAGCGCACACCCACAAAACATCAGGTCCATATGGCCGCTATTGATTCGGGCCATCTGCTAGGCCAGGACTTGCTCCCACCATGTTGGGTTAGAAGCTCTTCCAAAAAGCCTTTCCTCCCATCAGAGGCGCCTTGGTCAGATGGGGACAGGGATGGATTTCATTACAGGGCGGGGACCACAGTGAGAGGAAGCTGGGGCAGGGCTCCGAGGGGACCGTCTGCAACCCTGACCCCACAACAAAGGCCAGGAGAACCCAGAACATGCTGATTGACACAGGGGCACGGGGCCCCCCACCCTTCCACCCGTTCATTCATGGCACAAGGAGGCCTCTAAGTAACTAAGGAACTAAGGAAAACAGCAGATCATCATCAAACACCCTGCAAATAGTGCTAGACGCCTGCAACACGAGGAAAGGGGAGAGTCAAGTTCAAGAGGTCCGTTGGCCCTAAAAGAGGACATTTCTGCTCCATTTTTAAAGGAAATCCCACTCTTTTCCCTCTCCCTCAGCTTCTGACATGTTTTCCTTTTCCAGGCGCTTCCTCTGCTCGCTCTCAGCCCAGGGGCAACATTTTCTGTGCCTCCCAAAGTGTGTGCGAAGACCCCTGGTTGTTTTCAAGTCAGAGCTCTGTGGGACATTAACGTTGTTCTTCATGGCGCTGCTCGAAAAGCCCCCAACCACAGCCCACTGATTATTTGTAAACCGGAGGGGAATAACGTTCAACAGAACTTTCCCACCCGCTTCAAGGGCTGCGCGCGGGGCCTCGCTGCACGTGGGGATGTGACTCACGTGGTTCCGCGTCCTCTGTCACAGGTGTTCCAGGGCAACAGCGACCCCACGGAGGTGGTTCTGAACAGGCTGCACACGCCGCTGCTCACGAGGTTCGTCAGGGTCCGCCCTCAGACCTGGCACGCGGGCATCGCCCTCCGGCTGGAGCTCTTCGGCTGCCGGGTCACAGGTGAGGTGGCGCCCCGGGGAGGTTGGGAGCGGATTGTGTCCTGGCTCTGCTGTCTCTCGGCCCAAGATTGCACCACGTGACCTTCCGGGAAGGAGTGGCTCGGGGACTCAGGTCCTAGCAGCCCCCCTCTCTTCATTCAGGGGGTGTTTATTAAACATCTGCTGTCTCCACTAGCTAACATCTATTGAATGCTGAGGCGCCAGGCTCCATGCCAAGCACTTGGGTGTGTTTTCTTCCATAACCTTCAGAAGTGCTCTGTGAGGCAGGTGTTCCTAGTCTCTCCATTTGACAGATGAGGAGACCAAGACTTGGAGATTTAGGTGTCTCCCAACCCCCCCAGCACTATGCGGCAGAGCCAGGATTTGAAACTAGGCAGTTTGAAAGAGCCCGGCTCTCAAATAACACTTTCTGGTCCTAGCTGGTTTGGCTCAGTGGATAGAGCATTGGCCTGCAGACCAAAGGGTTCCGGGTTCGACTCCGGTCAAGGGCACATACCTTGGTTACAGGCCCCTCCACGGCCCGGGCCCTGGTCAGGGCTTGTACAGGAGGCAACCGATTGATGTGTTTCTTTCACATCAATGTTTCTCTCTGTCTTTCCCTCTTTCTTCCACTCTCTTTAAAAATCAATGGAAAAGTATCCTCAAGTAAGGATTAACAACAAACAAACAAACAAACAAACAAAACAAATAACACTTTCTGCTGCCTCAACTGGGGGCCAAGAGCTATGCAAGGCATTATGGATACAGGGATGAGCACAACAGACCCAGCTCTGGGGGGACAGCTAGACAAGTTGGGGAGACATAGTTATAAACCAACAAATGCACAAATAAAGGTAAATAAAACCATGATAAAGAACACTGTAGGGGACTTCCCCAGTCTTGGAGGTCAGGGAGGAGGACTTCCTTGAGGAAGTGGTGGCTGAGCTGAGGGAAACGGGCAAACAGGCCTCCCATCCAAGTACTAGCTAGGCCCGACCCTGCTCAACTTCCGAGACCAGACAAGATGGGGTGCGTTCAGGGTGGTAAACCACACAGGCCTTAAAGACTAGAGGGAAAGTCCACAGGGAGTGGTCACAGTTTGCTCAGCGGCACAGGGGCCAGAGGGACCAAGAGAGAAAGTGAGAGGGTGGCCAGGGAATGTGGGCCGAGACCCCAGGGGTACAATGTGGAGGATGGATTAGCACAGTGGTTCTCAACCTTCCTAATGCCGCGACCCTTTCATACAGTTCCTCATGTTGTGGTGACCCCCCAACCATAAAATTATTTTCGTTGCTACTTTATAACTGTAATTTTGCTACTGTTATGAATCGTAATGTAAATATCTGATATGCAGGATGTATTTTCATTGTTACAAATTGAACATAATTAAAGTATAGTGATTAATCACAAAAATAATATGTAATTATATATGTGTTTTCCGATGGTCTTAGGCGACCCCTGTGAAAGGGGTTGCGACCCCCAAAGGGGTTGCGACCCACAGGTTGAGAACCACTGCCCTAAGGGGCGTGTGCATCCTAACCACCTAGGGGACAGTTTTCTGTCCCTTCACATTGCACAAGGCGCCCAGCGAGGACTCAGTGAAAACTCATTTTCTGGAAAATTGAAAAGAGAGAACCAGTGGATTTGAAGAGTCGGGACCACCTGGAGGGTCTGTAATTCAGTGTCCAGGTACCTAAAGCGCACTGACAGAGGACCCGCCTTCTCCACTCACTCATGTGCTCCACAAATATTTACCGAAGGCCTGCTGTGTGCAGGCCCCATGCTGGGAGCTGGGGCCAGAGAAGTGAGCTAAGCAGATTGGGTCTCTGACATCAGGGAGCTTTCGGGCTAGTGGGCAAGATGGGTAATTAGCAAAGACAAGTGCTGGACCATTCGAAACGAAGATGGGTGTCTGGAGAAAAAGAACAGGGCCTCCGAGCAAGAGTGACTGAAAGGACCTCATTAACTTGGTTGAAAGTTTGGGGACAGCCTTTCTGAGGCTGTGACATGAACCTTTAGGGGGTGAGGAAAGGTTAGCCTGGTGATGATGGAGGGGAAGAGCCTTTGGGGCCGCAGGAGCTGGTGTCACCAACAAAGATCTGAGAGTCCTTGGCGAACAGCATTAGATGCTTCGGCATGTCAGGCTCTGGGCTGTGAGCTTTTGTATAGTAACTAATGGAACCTTCGCAACAACCCTCAAGAGGTGAGTACTGCTGTTAGTCCTCCTTTAGACCTGGGGAAACTGAGGCATGGAGCAATTCAGTCATTTGTCCGAGGCCATGCAGCTAGTTAGTGGCAGAGCAAACACGAACCCCGGCAGCCTGGCTCCCAGTCTTGGCTCTCAGCACTATTCTACCTTGAAGTGCAAAGAAATCAGTGCTGACTTAAAGTGTTTGATACCAGTGGGGTTTTTTACAGCTCCCTACTAATGGGGTGTCCCCAGTGACTGTGGTGTCAGCCCTGACCTCCTGCATCTTCCTCCCCTCCCCACAGACGCCCCCTGCTCCAACATGCTGGGCATGCTCTCGGGCCTCATCACGGACGCGCAGATCTCCGCCTCCTCCACCCGCGAGTACCTCTGGAGCCCCAGCGCCGCCCGCCTGGTCAGCAGCCGCTCCGGCTGGTTCCCCCGGATCCCTCAGGCCCAGCCGGGTGAGGAGTGGCTGCAGGTGGACCTGGGAGCGCCCAAGACGGTGAAAGGCGTCATCGTCCAGGGGGCGCGAGGAGGAGACAGCATCACTGCGGTGGAGGCCAGGGCGTTTGTGCGCAAGTTCAAAGTCTCTTACAGCCTGAACGGCAAGGACTGGGAATACATCCAGGACCCCAGGACCCAGCAGCCAAAGGTAGGGGTGCCTGGAGGACTCTAACCTTAAGTCTGGGGTGCTGGTTTCCCATCCAGTATGAGGAATACTCATTAAGAGATTACTTTGTGCCAGGCACTGTGCTAACTGCCTTATGTTAATCCTTATTATTATTTCAATCCTTCCACCAGGTTTAGAAGGTAGACCCTTTGTCACTCCCATTTTAGAGATGACAAACTGAGGCTCGATGACATGTCCAGGGTCCCACAGTGTCCCTGTGGTGGTTCCATGGTTCAGACCCCGTCGTGAGCCTGACTCCAGAGCCCAAATGCCTTACGGTCAAGTTCAACGCCTTTTGTACGCTCTCTCAGATAAAGTTTCCTTCCAATTGGCCAGACATCCAAAGGAGATGTGGTTTTTGGAGGCTAAACTATAGAAACAGGGGATTTACTTCCAAAAACAACTGTGTTTTCCTGAATGTGGCTGCCCTCCTTTGTAGTTCCCGAGTCTGGACTCTTAGATCTTTCCCGCCTGGTACTGTGGCTGGGAGAGGCAGTGAGGACAGCCCCTGCCGTCAGGGGCGTGAAGGCCCGCCTTCTAGGCCCGGAGGAGCCCCAGGAGGGGGAAGACATCATTTCTCTTCTCCAGGTCAATTTCCCGGCTAGCCAGGCCTTCCCAACCTCATGTCTAAGTTTCCCCTGGTTTTTCTCCAAAGAGCAGAGCCCCTAACAAGGAAGAGGTAGCCCATGTCTCTATTCAGCCCCTTTACTAAGCAAGTGTGCTCATTCTTGATACTGAGGCAAGGGCTGGGCTGGAGGTTTGCAATAACTGATGTCAGCTCCCAGCTCGCCATTCCAGGGGCTGGAAAGGCTCAGGGCTCGGTAACGGGAACCTTTGGTGGATGGAGAAGTTGGATCCTGGTTCTTCTTAACCACTGAGGGGTCGGGGGGGCGGGGCTGAGAAAAGAGAGGATCTTCACCAGGGGCAGAGCCCGCCCTCCCCGGGACAGCGCCCCTTTGGGAGCTGTGGACACAGGCATCCTGCAGCATTCCCCATGCTGATCACCACAGCCCCCTGATGTCCCCACCCCACCTTCCCCTAAGCCAGTGGCTCCCAGGTGTGCTCTGGGTCGCTCCCCCCGCCCCCCCCCCCCCCCGACTTCAACCAGGACGGCCCCTCTGTCCTCAGTTTTATGTACTGGGGCTCCAGGCGAGTTTTCTTTTGATAGAATTGTCTCCACTAAGCAAAGATTTGGGGAACAGTCTCTGACTATCAGTGTGTGACCAGGAGGCGTGTTGTTCGTCTAGAGAAGGGGACGGTCACTTTCCCTTCTGCCTCTCCGTGAACTTGGACCATCAGTCAACTGGGACTTTCTACATCTAGACTTTCAAGCATTAGAAAAAGGAATAGATTAGAACGTTTGATTCCTAATAAACTGAAAAGTTCGGAACAGGCAAGGCAGCCTGAGCTCCCTTCTCTTCTCTCTGGGGCTAAGTCCAGCATGAGACTCATTCGGAGCCGAATTCTTTCCTGAGGGCTCAGTTCAGTCCCAGGGTAGAAGGCGGGACCTGGCAATGACACTCAGACCTGCTCCCGCTTCCCCTGGTCTGGGCCTCTAACCATCTTCCGAATGAATGCGAACCTTGGCCTGAGAATGGAGCTCCCAGGGACCGTCAAGTCCAGCGACCACGAGGAGCTAGGACGCTGCCTTCTGTTGGATGCGAAGGGTGGGAAGGAGAAGGGGGGAGGAAAGGGAAGACGGGATGATGGAGGAGGGGTCCCCCATAAGAAGGGCTGAGCAGCCTGTCTCCCCTGCAGCTGTTTGAAGGGAACATGCACTACGACACCCCTGACATCCGAAGGTTCGACCCTGTCCCTGCGCAGTACGTGCGGGTGTACCCCGAGAGGTGGTCACCAGCGGGAATCGGGATGCGGCTGGAGGTGCTTGGCTGTGACTGGACAGGTAAGACCCTGGCTCCTCAGGATGCCCTGGGCGGGGGGCGGGGGGAGTGGGGGCGTCAGACCATGATGTGGATGGGGCAGAGAGGCCACTCCTCCCTAGTTGAATCCCTCTCCAGCGAAATGCTGCAGCCCTGCCCACCCTGGGCCCTGGCCATGTTCTCTCTGCCCAGGTCCCGGGCGCTCAAGCTCTGGTCTTGGTCGTGTGGTAGGTTGTGCTTGCCGGATTAAGTGAGATCGTTTTCAGCTCTCAGTCTGAGTCTCTCTCAAACGCAAGTATACGACGACACCACCCACCAAATGTATTTAACTTCTGACTTCCTACGGGACGGAGACTTTTGTTGTGATTATCGAAAGGGAGGAAAAAAAAA